TGAGAGACTTAGTTGCTTTTATACGCTCAAGGGGAGGTTACAATCGAGCTATTGCCCGAGGCTTGCCGAGGGCAATAGCTCGATTGTAACCTTCCCGAGTGTGTATACAAACAACTGTGTCTCTCAAAGCAGTCATTAATACTTTTATATACCGAAAAGAGTCATAGAATACATGTGCGACTTACCAATCATGATAATCAAGTTTGTTTACGCTAGACCTAGTCAATGGTGTGTCTGCCTGCGGGGCCGGGGGGGGGGCTATTTTTTTCCTTCCCAAACAGGTTTGCCAATGCTTATATTTCCGGTCATCTGATTGGCTGATATGTTACGTCATTAACAATGACGTAACCGTTAGGGTGAGTGATAGGGTTATATAAATCATGCAGAATCGCTTTTCATTAACCCATCGTTGGCTCAATCGGTAAGGTCAGCGTAATACAATCTTAGAGTTGTGGGTTCAAGTCTCAGTTTATTCAGTTTGTTTGCCTCTATAAATAGTGAGGCAAAGCAATACATAATCAAAGTCTAATTGGTAGTGAACTCTTACCAAGCTGCTAATGACGTAGAACATATCAGCCATTGAGAAGAACGGAAATATAAGAAATTGCAAACCTGTTTGGGAATAAAAAAATTGCGGCCGGGGGACTTCGATCCACGTCCATAGACTTAGCACGCAAACGTGTGTGTACACTATGAATGAGAGGGGACTTTGATTCGCACGCACATATCCGGTAATCCCGGTAACTGGAATTTTGCCGGGATTTTACCGATTTACTCTATAACTATTACATGGGTTTGGCATGTTTCGTTTATTTACGGGAATGGCTAAAACTACGACTGCAATTTCGACCAATCAGATGGCTAGATTTCTTAAGTGATGTATATAATTACCTTTGATGTCTGGGTGATGCTAGTCAAACCGTAGTCTGCTATTTTACAAATCTTGTTTTTGGACATCAGCAGCAGCGATGCATTTTTAATGAGTAAAGTCTTCGTGAACGAGGATGAGGTCAATCGCATAGCTAGCTAAGCGTCCTTTTGCCCGCCAGTTTTAACTGCAACAACTTGATACTTCACCAACAAAAGTTGAAAATGGATTCAAGCAACGTGCAGGATGCCAGTGACGTAAGTTAATTTAGAATAACAAGTTTCGTTGCTATTAAATTGTGGTTTTTCAAAACTATTCATCAACAGAGGAGCTTACAATTTTGCTTTTGTTATGGCTCATCGCCAAGTTTTCGTGGTGGGTTTGCTGCGCCTGTGCATAGTCTATGAACGTGCGCGGCGAATACATTGCTATCTACATTAGATGTTAAGATGGCACACACTGTTTCAAAAACCGGTCACCATTTTTGTTGGATATTTGAGTAAAATATGTAATCAGAATAATACTTTTCTAATTTCAAGACTCACCGATGTTTCTATCAAAAGGTACAGCCCCTCAAAAACTCTACAATATTCATAGCATTTTGGTCAGAATGGACAAAAAAGTGGTTCACGCCAGCCCAAGACAAGTTAGGCCTATCAATATCATTTTTTGCTCAACAAGACAACAGCTGCATTCTAAATGGGCCTATAATAATAGCGTAGGCCTAGGCCTAGATCTAGATCTAGGTCTAATGCATAAGGCCCAGAATCTAGGCGATATGCAAAACGTGGGGGAAGGGTATTTTCAAACTTAAACCGTAGAATGTGATCCTCATTTATTGAGTAGGGTCTAGCCTAGGCCTAGTCAGGCCTATCACCTTATAGAGATCTCTAGACTAGATCTAGACCCTAACTAGATCTATAGGCTAAGCCTAAGGGCACAACCAGCCGAGTAAATATTCATAATTGAATGACATACGCCCTTATTAAGACTAAAACAAGAACAACAACAACGAGGCAATCTCCCCCCCCCCCCCCCCAGTCAGACTCAGACTTTCCGTTAATGCCCGGTATGAATCGTTATGACAATGGAAGAGAAAAAAATCAATTAGGTCTAGGCTAGATCTAGTCTAGGGTCTAGATCTAATAAATAAATAAAAATAGTCTGCGGATTAAGTGGATTGGAACTGGAAAATGATGAATTTTCCCACTGATCTATTGTTGTTTTTGTTTTAAATTTCAGAAGAGAAGAAAGCCCTGGGAGGACCATGAGGTGACGGCCCTCTGCAGCTTCGTGGGCTCCCACGCATCCCGTCTTTTTGGGAGTGCACGTACGTTTCTCATAGACTCGCGTACGTGCGCTTAGTGTGCGATGCCATGCTTGCTATGACGTCACTCGTAAACAGTTAAAATGCAAAGCCGAACATAACATTATGCTAATATAATTACCTCACTCTTAACCCCCTAACCAATCAAATACAAGTAAAAATATGGAAAGAAAAGTTCCCCTACCCCCAAATGAATATTCATATTGCCAATTTGATACATAGTTTTCAAATAATCATTGAAGATAACTTGACGTATATTCAAATTTTAATGGACCATAATTTTGGCAAAAATCACTGAAATTTACATTTTGTTGTAAGGTTGTAGCAAATTTATTATAAACTCTTCATCTCAATTTTTGTGTGACGTAATATTTTTAAAGCATATGAGTGAGGATGTTTCCTGAAATAGTCCATTGACCTTATTTTCGTTCCAGTTTTTTTTTTGGCATTATGGCCTAAGTTTGAACACGAGAGACTTTGAGGTATTTTTTAATTCATCGGCGCTAAGCGCATTTCGAGGCCGTGCGCGTCGGGGTGGAGATTTTGTCCCGCATTGTATCAAGGATGCGTGATTTGCGTGCTTTTGATAACTAGCATGCCATTGTGTATACAGCAGCGGTAAGTGAATCCTAGTCGGTCATATTCATATTGATCCTGAAAGGCCTAGTTAGATCTACAGTTGACCGAGAGCATCTCATTATAGCTATTATAGACTCTAGAAGATAGTCTCTAGATTTTGTTGTTTTTTCTTTAATTTATTAAACTTTGCTTCAATTAATCTTAAGCCATGTTTATCAATTTATTGTGCAGACTCCTTATTTATCAACATACTGAATAAGGGCTGCATGAAGAGCTCAATAGCTTTACACATTTAGGCCTCTAATTTAAACTGTTTTACTTGCTACAAAATGCTAGACAATTTTAATGTTGAAAAATGATGAATTTAGTTTACACCTTTCAGGTAGATCTATTCCTTCATGAAAAAAAAAATAGATAGGATCTAGAGTCTAGATTTCTCATAATCTCGAAAGAATTTTTTTTCTTGGAGGAGTCTGCGCAATAAATTGATAATCATGGCTTTAATTTATATTTTCCACTAGAGTCAAGACTTTAGCTCCACTCTAGATCTAGAGACGAGATCTATAACTAGGTTTAAATCTAGACTAGGAATAGGATCTATTATTATTTTCTCATGCAGAAACAAATTCCACAACTTGCAGGGGTCTAGATATGTTAAATCAAATACAACTTTTGATTTTGTGCCCAGTTAACAATCACCAAGGCCAAGCAAAGTTTAATAAATTAAAGAAAAACAACAAAATCTAGAGACTATCTTCTAACGTCTATTATAGCTATAATGAGATGTTCTCGGTCAACTGTAGATCTAACTAGGCCTTTCAGGATCAATATGAATATGACCGACTAGGATTCACGTACCGCTGCTGTATACACAATGGCATGCTAGTTATCAAAAGCACGCAAATCACGCATCCTTGATACAATGCGGGACAAAATCTCCACCCCGACGCGCACGGCCTCGAAATGCGCTTAGCGCCGATGAATTAAAAAATACCTCAAAGTCTCTCGTGTTCAAACTTATGCCATAATGCCAAAAAAAAATGGAACGAAAATAAGGTCAAAGGACTATTTCAGGAAACATCCTCATTCATATGCTTTAAAAATATTACGTCACACAAAAATTGAGATGAAGAGTTTATAATAAATTTGCTACAACCTTACAACAAAATGTAAATTTCAGTGATTTTTGCCAAAATTATGGTCCATTAAAATTTGAATAAACGTCAAGTTATTTTCAATGATTATTTGAAAACTATGTATCAAATTGGCAATATGAATATTCATTTGGGGTAGGGGAACTTTCCTTTCCATATTTTTACTTGTATTTGATTGGTTGGCGGGTAAAGAGTGAGGTAATTATATTAGCATAATGTTATGTTCGGCTTTGCATTTTAACTGTTTACGAGTGACGTCATAGCAAGCATGGCACCGCCAACCAAGCGCGCACAGGCGACGTACGTGAGTGGCGGGAGGGGAAGTTTGGGCGTGGAGCGCCAAAAGACGGATGCGTGGGAGGAGTGCCGGAGGCACATTGTTGCAGCCGGGGGTCGCCCAGACAGGTCATGGCCGAAGATGAGGAAAAAATGGCAGGACTTGGCCTCTAAGGCCAAAAATACTCAACACAAAGGAGGCGGCAAGTGCATGGAACTGGTAGGTGTCTCTTGATTTATTTCACAATATGTACAACACATAGACTTCTAGATCTAGATCTACATCTAGACCCTAGTAATTAAAAATTTAAACTAATAATAAAATCAGACTGTCATGTCTAAAAGGAGAAAGGCTCTTGTGGGTAAGTGACAAGAAGTATAAGGAAGTAAGGAAACCACCATGCACTAATTTTATTAGATTTGTATCATTCTGGGATTTTGTTTTAAAAATAATTATTTTTAAAAAAAGTACATAATTATTCCTTTTACACTTGAAAAAGGTTAATTGACTGATCCATGGAATGTCTTCTCATGCAAATCTCAATGTATGTTATATGATCTATGTTAGCAATCAAATTCCTTTAGGATAGTACATGAGAAACACTTCAAGATGGAATTGTCTTCTGTGAATAATTTGTATTTAAAGTCGCCTTCGTGATATTGACTATTGACTTTAAATTCATATTTTACATTGGTATTTTGATAAAATCAACATTGTATCACATAAACTCTAATTGATATACATGTACATGCATTTCTCTCAACTGTCACAGGTGGAGGAGGCTTTGTGCCACCCCACAAACTCTATGAGCTGGTGTTGCAGGCACTGCCTGATGAGCTCAGGGACGGCATAGCTCCCATCGAAATGGCTGAAACTGTAAGTGAATGAGAATCGTCTGCTGAGAGCCAAAAGTACATGCACTAACTACGTTATTGTTTATAGAGTTAGTGCCATTCTGGCTCTGAATATGTCAAAAATCTTTCAACTCTTGAAGTAAATAATACACCTATTTACTTTTATTACAATAGATGTTAATTCAAAATTGAAACAAAGTTCCAGTTATTATGAAAGCATCATATGCTTCATGAATTTGCAGTCCCCCCCCCCCCCCCAAACAACACCAGTAGTTAAAGTATGTTAAAACATAATATTCCCAGCTCCTAGCTGTAGTACATTGTTGTAAAAGAATGAATAACAAGAATAACTGCCCATTATATTGAGTGACTTGGAGGAATAATCAACAAAATAAATTGCTACTTGAAACTAACAACTTCACTTGAAACTTAAAATGCAAACTTTCAACAGCAAACTGCAACTGACTCAAACAAAGCCCAAGAAGTACATGTGTACCCAATACAAGAGGTCAAGGTGTATAATGCTTCTTAATTCCACGAAATGACTCGGTGACTAAGAGAAAGATTTGATTCACACATGTATTCATGATTTTTCATATTTCTAGGCCCCATCAAGTGGATCACACAAGAACGGTGTAGAAGTTGTTAAGGTAAGATTATCAATAAAAAGAGGGTCTACAAGTACATTAAATTTGCATCTACTCTTGCTGTTAATTTTATGAATTAGATCATAGCAAGGCATAATTTTTATCTTCTTCAAAATTCCACTTTGAATGCTAATTATGCTAAAGCATATCCATAAAGAGTACAAGTTTTAAACGATCTTCATAGTGCTGTTGAAGTGTGAGTGTGTCCCGGGGGAGGGGGTCGGGGGGGGGGTTGTGATGCTTCTTCATAAAATGCAAACATTTTAACCTTTTTTTTCGGGGGAAAGGGTGGAATAGACCTTATCTCTTCTTACTTCATCTTTGGGATGTCAATGTCCTTTAATACAAAAGAAACCTAATTATGGAAGCTGTGGTGTAATTTCATTTTTTTTACACATGGGCCTGATGTAAGGATTTTTTCTTTTCTAGAAGGGGGTGGGGTGGATGTGTAGTAAGATGTGCTTAAATGCATAGACTATACCTTTGATATACAAAGTGACTAAAACAATAAACATAATAGAATAACACTATATGGTCTTGCGTTTTCCTTCCAGCAACATGCAGAAGTTTCTGTAGTACCAGCTACTGTGACTTCATCACAAACATCTCAAGAAAATGTAAGGAAGGTAAGATTCAGTTTTCCATGATCAATGTTGCTCTCTCTCTCTCTCTCTCTTTTTCTCTCCTTTTCCCCTTTCTCTCTCTAGTTCTCCCTCTCATATTATATTCACGCAAAAAACTGAGGTGCTAAATGTTGGGTGCTGAGTGAGATTCTGCACTTGAAGTGCCAAAATCAGCACTTGACGGGTTAACTTTAACAAGGAAACCGAAACGTGCTGAATATTTGAGTGCAGAAAACGAGTGCTATAACAATATGCAGCACTTAACATCGAGTGCTGACTGCATAACCTGATCTGATTGGTCGGTTAGTATAATAGCTGTTACCTTGTGAATATTTGTTTTTGAATCAAATTCAGCTAAGAGATTCTTACATTCTTCATTCTCCAGGTCAATACCCAAGGCCTCAAAAGTCTGAATAACTTTGCTCCTTAAACTGTCAACAACATCAGTATTCAAAGCTGTTGCAGCAGATAACACTCTGTTTGTCATAGCATGGGTCATGTTGGTGTTTGATAAAAGAGAACCAATGAAAAATGCAGCTGGTCTCACTATGAACATGTCAGACAATGAAAGCGGACAAAATATACAGTTCCTCAGGTAGACAAAGGAACATCCCTTGACTGCTATTATGTAAAATGTGTAGAACAGGTGAATATGCATGTGACACCTGTTCTACACATTTTTACATAATAGCAGTGAAGGGATGTTCCTTTGTCTACCTAAGGAACTGTATATTTTGTCCGCTTTCATTGTCTGACATGTTCATAGTGAGACCAGCTGCATTTTTCATTGGTTCTCTTTTATCAAACACCAACATGACCCATGCTATGACAAACAGAGTGTTATCTGCTGCAACAGCTTTGAATACTGATGTTGTTGACAGTTTAAGGAGCAAAGTTATTCAGACTTTTGAGGCCTTGGGTATTGACCTGGAGAATGAAGAATGTAAGAATCTCTTAGCTGAATTTGATTCAAAAACAAATATTCACAAGGTAACAGCTAGTATACTAACCGACCAATCAGATCAGGTTATGCAGTCAGCACTCGATGTTAAGTGCTGCATATTGTTATAGCACTCGTTTTCTGCACTCAAATATTCAGCACGTTTCGGTTTCCTTGTTAAAGTTAACCCGTCAAGTGCTGATTTTGGCACTTCAAGTGCAGAATCTCACTCAGCACCCAACATTTAGCACCTCAGTTTTTTGCGTGTAACTACTTAAAATAATAAGCCTTTTAATAAAATTCATAACCATATTGGGTAAAACTAATAATAACTTTCAATTATGTAAAAACGTATTATGATGTCACATCCCATACAAACCTATGTTATCCGATACACCGAGTTTTTCATATAGTGCTCTTTCCCTGCAGCTACAAAACGCTTCACAATCCGCCCCATATCTACTATAAGAACCACTTAAAAATGGGAACAAAAACCAGTGAAGCCAATATAATCGTACATTAATCCGGGCTCCCTAATTACATTATTTGTCATTCTGAAGTTTCTTGAAGGAACATAGGTGTGCATTAATGAGGTGGGTAGATTTGTCCACAACCTTCCAGCAACAGAAGGAAAATCACCTTAAATACGTTTCTTGGAGAGCGAGGGCAACCACAAGGAACTTCAAAAAGTTATAACTATTTTGATATGTTTCATTCGGTAACCACATTGATACAATATTACCTTCTCTGCCACCTGTTGCATATTTCCTGATATTAAATTAATCAGTAAAACTCATTGTTTCTCTTTGCAGCTTTCATCGTTTATGAATACGTTCTTTACGGCACTCTTCTGACGTACCTGTAAACCAATGCAGGCAAGACGCGGTCATCGTATCGGGTTTACGCCAATGTTCGCTCCGTTGTAAGAAGGGTAAATGAACCAGACCTGTTTACATTTGCCTGGCAGATTGCGAAGGGCATGGCATTCCTGTCTTCACAGAAGGTGACTTCATACGCATAATTTAATTATACAAATTATACAAAATCCTTCTGATCACATACCGTGCCTTGAAGTTCTCCTCGCCACAGTACATCTCTTCTCTACTCAACTTTCGCAAGCCTGGTCGTTCTGGTCTGCGTTCTGCCAATACATCAACTCTGATCATCCCTAAGACCAGACGATCATGGGGAGATCGAGCATTTGCCTCAGCAGCTCCCCTATTGTGGAACAGTCTCCCTAACACACTTAAGGACTGTAAATCAGTAGATAGTTCCAAGGCCAGCCTGAAAACTTATCTAATGGCCAACTTTAACTAATATCATCTTCTTCTTTTTTATAACCATGTGTAATGTAAGCAAAATTATATCTAAGTATATTATGTAGCTCATTGTAAGAGCCTTGAACACCCTTTGGGTGGATATGTTGCGCATTATAAATGTCTGTAATATTATGATAAAGTTAAAGGTTTCCAAATATTTCCTTGGTGCAATCGAATGTCAAATTGTCTACCTGGCATTTTCCACATTTTTTAGACATTGTTGCTGGTGCGAAAATTACCGAGAAGACCACACATGTGTTGTCAACGAAATAAATCAAAATTAAATCACTTCTCGCTAAAAAGACAAACAAACAAATAACTAAATAGAATTAAAACAAGTAAATTGACTACGCCCATTCGAATCCCGCAAGAAAGGGTTCCCCGCAGTTGATTCCGGGTATACATAATATCAACGGCAGGCCTCCCCTTCTCGATGTACGTATCATATCTTTAAAATCTGATGTTGTATTAATCGATTTTGTTGAAATCCACAATATTTTATCTTTAGCAAGGTTAAAGGTGATGAAACCAACGATATAATTGTAGCTTTGGTTATATTTCCTAATTCTATGCTATCAGGCTACAATACATCAAATGGGACACATTAAAATATTTGCCTTTGCACTGTTCTTGCAGACCAACTATGTCATTCCATTATTGCTTATGATTTATAAATTATAATATGTACTCGAATTTATCATCTAAACAGATCGTTCACGGAAATCTGCGCGCCAGCAACGTCCTGGGGAGGATTTCACTAACGCGCGCAATGCATCGTTAACCCTGCGCAGGGGCTTGAACTCATCGCAACCTCACCGAACCCATCGCACATGGACGATGAGTTGCTTATGGATTTCACTAAGCGCCTGCGACGGGTTAACCCGTCGCTAACTCATCGCAGCTTAGCGGATGCTCAAAGGGTGCTCGCAGAGCTGCGATGAGTTCAAAAACGTAACTTCCTGTCTCAAGGTCAAATACTGGCGCGAAAACTTTTATAAGTTTTTGTACACCGGTACGGTGTATGGAGGATTTCGGTTGTTTTGCAAGGTATTTTAATCATGGCTCGCCTTCTTTATATAAATAACGCGAGAGCACTTAATAGAGAGCGTGTTTTCAGGGATAGGACTAATCCATTGGATACATTAAACGATAAAAAGATGCACAAATATTATAGGTTTACGCGACAGGGTGTGATGAGAGTTATTGACTTGTTGGAGGAGAGAATTGCGCCGCTGACTCAGAGGAGTCATTCTATTGATGCGAGGTTGCAGATTTTCGTTGCTTTAAACTTTTACGCAACCTCAGATTTTTATTCCAGTGTACTCAAAGATCATGGTGTTTCAATTTCAACTGTTTGTAGAATAATTAATCGTGTGACAAAGGTGCTTACTAGTTTGAAAGAACAAGTAGTAACATGGAGGCCGGCGGCTGAGAAGCAAATGGAATTTTTGGAGTTGAGTGGCTTCCCGATGGTCGTTGGAGCCATCGACTGTACTCATGTATGGCTTGACGGCAGTCCACTAAAGACAACCGAATATGTGTACGTCAATAGGAAGGGGTGGCATAGCATCAATGTGCAATTTGTCACCGATGCAAATTACAACATAATCAACGTCAGTGCACGCTGGCCAGGGTCTGTCCATGACTGCAGAGTACTGGAGAATTCCTATGTTGGGCAGGATTTCCAACGTGGAGAATTGGAGGGAGTTCTCCTCGGTGACTCGGGCTACCCCCAACGATCATGGCTCATGACCGCTTTCCGCAACCCCCAAACACATGCTGAACGTACCTACAGTAGGTAAATCTATTTTACTAAATTGAATTAGGCCTACATCATATACTTAAACCGTTGGAATAAAATTTAAAAAAAATATATATACCATAGACCCTATTAATTACCCTCTGGACAATCTCCATGACCCCCCCCCCCCCCGTCAAGCTACTTTGCTTATTTCTGTAGCCCTCCTGCATCCAATTTACTTAATAATGCATTCAATATATTTGTTTAATTTTGTTTATTATCTGTATAAAATTATATACACTTAAAATATTGTATCAAACCATATTATGTTCATGAAAATGTATGATGAAAAAAAAAGAAAAAGATGCAGAAACCAATAAATAAAATCAAACTAAATCAAGGAAACCACACCCCCGCCCCCCTGGAAAATCACTGCAAAGTCAAATTCCCCTCTCTGAAAAAATTACCCCCCCCCCCCCGGACAACCCTCCCTTGTTCATTAAAGGGGAAGCCTACCCTGATAATCCCTTACAAAAAAAGTACCATGGTAAACGTGTTTTTTTGTCCAAAATACCATCCACCATGTACAGTGTATTTCATTGTTTCGGTACCATGTTAACCATTACAAAAAAATGGTTACCATGGTACTTTTTTGTAAGGGATTATTTCGTTTTGATAAAAGCAGACTTTTTGTGGGGTAATTGTCCTCTCTTTTCATTTCAAAGGTGGTAAATTTCCTCTGGGGGGGGGGGGGGGGGGGGGAGGGAGGGTAATTGTCCTTGGTAAGTGGTTTTTCCTGGGTAGGTTTTTTTTTCTTCATTTCATAGGGGGTAATTTTTCTCTGGGGGGGGGGTGATTGTCCTTGGGAAGTGGTTTTTACTAGGTAGGGGGATTTTTTTCATTTCATAGGGGGTAATTTTTCTCGGGGGGGGGGGTGATTGTCCTTGGGAAGTGATTTTCCTGGGTAGGGGGGATTTTTTTTCATTTTATAGGGGGTACTTTTCTTGGGGGGGGGGGGGTAATTGTCCTTGGAAAGTGGTTTTACTGGTGGGAGGGGGGTTTAATTTTATAGGGGGTAATTGTCACGCTGGTAATTGGCGGGGGGGGGGGGGAGTTGTCAGGGGGCGCTTGTCCTACAGCCATATATTATACATGTTTGTAGGTCTATGTTCATGTATAAGATTATTTTTGATTTATACAATGTGATTCATATTACATGTATATGACCCTTGACCTGCTTAATTATTACCACTGCTATACTGCAGTGTTATGTAGTACATCTTCTTCATTAAAAAATAGATTAATGTAGTTGCATTGCCGTCCAGGCGCGTAGCCAGAGTTTCATGTTTGGGGGGGCACATACATGTAATCGATCGAGGTAAAAAAAAAGGGGTCCGTAAAATGCAACCGATCCTGGAAATTTAGGGGGGCACGTGCCCCCCCCCCCCCCCCCCCCGTGGCTACGCGCCTGTTGCTGTCCTCCATCAACGTTTTGTTTTGATCGATGTAATATGTTACAATGTAGAGTTTTCTGAAAAAGTATGGCATATTAAATTCAAATGGAAGAGATCTTGCAGTGCTGCCACATAAATATCAACAATCTATCAAAAAAATATGTCAATTATGGGAAATTATTTTATAGTGTATCTGATATTATACAAATATAATTATTGCTTATTTTTTCAATTTTTGCAATACAGGGCTCACATGAGAGGACGAGTAGTTGTTGAACAGACTAATGGACAGATCAAGAAGAAATTCCCTTGTCTGAGAAGAGGCCTAAGAGTAAAACCAAAGAAGGCATGCCAGATCATCATTGCGTGCACCGTGTTGTACCGGTTATCAAAGGACTGGAAAGAACCCTATCTTGGACGAGACCATGAGCTTCCTGATGTTGGTGTTGATGACTTTGATGGCCCTGTCAACAATGAGGGATATGCAGCACGAGCCCAACTGGTGGCCAGATGCTTTACTTGAAATCTGCTATATCCAGAGACATTGCTTTTCTATTTTTAAAGTACTTAGAAATGCATTGCTTATTGAGGATGGTATATGACTCAGAGTCTACATATTGAACATATCTATGTACATTATTATTTTGATTTACTTGAAGATTGAAGGTGGCAATGGGATTTGCATGTAAACTGTTTGTCTTTTATATACTGTAAATATTATCTTCAAAGGTTCAATGAAAAAAAGGTAATACATGTTTGTATAATGAATATAAACATGTTATGAAGATATAATGTTAAACCATATTAAACTTGAAAATAAGAGATTTTAACTTTTAAGATTTAAGTATAATTCCAAATTAAGGAGAGACTAAACACACAATAAAATGGCTTCAAAATGTTGAACATTCTTTATTTATATATATTTGCAGATTTCTTTCGTATAAACACTTTAAGCATGTGATACATTAATGCCTGTGTCACCCTGTAATATACACAGAATGTAGCAGGACAGGACACTTTAATTATAATGTCTACTGCTCAGCATGCATTCGGGTTACGATATCTGCAGCTGTAGATTGGGGAGTGGTAGTCAGTATCTGCAGGCACCCATGGATTCCTTGAAGGGTGGTGAGAATCCCTTCGAGAACCTCCACCTTTCGATTCTCGTTTGCTGCCATAGTTTTGTTGAGGGAAAGTAAACTGACCTCATCTGTCTCTTTTTTGGCAGCTTTTTTCCCCTTCTTCCTCTTTCTATTTCCTTCCTGCTGAGATTCCTGAGACTAAAATTAAGATATAAGATAAACAAGATTAATAACGGTATTAATAAATTATAGATTTTCTGTTGGAAAAATAGAAGAAATCAAAGAAGCAAGGTTTAAGTGTACATAAGGGGAGGTAAAAAAAACAATTGTTCTATGTAAATAGAGGACATATGAAAGTGCACTGCGGCTCAGTGTTATGAATGTGGCCTCTTTTCCAGTAATGATGACTGCCTCTTGTTTCAAGTTACATGAAACCTTTGCTACTAATATGTATCACTTTGTTTTTTTTGATAATCTATGCATGTAAGTAATACCCCTGTAGACACGATCATTTAAGTTCCAAATTGTTCTCAAGATATGTATCTAACTATCTACTATATATAGATTTGAGATGTACCTCCTTTTCTCATTCTTCATTTTGACTTGGTGCTAGCCCTGAAGACTTGAGTACCAGCTATACTGATTTACTTGTATATATCGGATTTTACTAGCATGTATCTATATTCTGTGAAAGTAAATATGAACTTGAAATTTACACTTACATCTTCGGTTTCTGTGTCCATTCTTGTGGCAGGCCTCTGTAAGACAACAATACTGTGATTGAACATTTCAAAGTATAAAGTTTTATTTCATTTCATGTTATACAGCCTGAACAAATTATGTATCAGAGTCATTGGCATCTATTGATGTACATGTAGATGTATTTAATTTACATATTCTAATAATGATGACAACAATAGCTTTAAAACACCTACAAAAATGGGGTGGCAAATTTTCACTTAAAATTGTATCATAATGTGAAAGAGGATGTCATTTAAGGCACATTTTTGCAAGGATTTTTAAAACAAATGTGTTTGAAGTCAATTATTGATGAAAGAATACAAATTCAGTCTTTCTGCTTACAACAGAAATTTTTAGCCAGTGGGGGAATAATTTAAGTGAAATTCTACCATCAAATTAATTTTGGGCTCCCAACACTTTAGAGGGGCTTTAACAATAAGATTTGTATATATTTATTAAAAAGATGGAAACAGATGTTAGAAAAGAGAATGTCAAGGGGTAAATGACTGGAGATTAGTTTCATGAAATGTATGAAAACACTGATGGATATCTTTCATGGACCGAGTCTATACCTTCCTAACAGTCTGTTTAGCTCCTTGTAGTGAAGTCACAGTTGCTGGTACTTGCTCAATAGAAAGTGCAGTGTGTTGCTGCAGAGAGACATACAAGACCACATTAATGCTATACAATCATTATGTTCCTTACCCAACATATAGTAAACCTGATGTGTAATCATACAACCCCCCCCCCCCCCCACTTGTTGCAGGGACTATAGCATGGAATTGGTGGCAAAATCTAAAGCAAACCCGGACACATGATGGAAAAAACTGATCCCGATACTTTTCCGATTTAAAATCAATTTAAATTTTCTATTAATAAATGGTAGTATTCAAACCTTAAAACATTTATCAAAACAGTAATAAAAAGGGTTATAAATGTGTATATATATATATGATTATATTATATAAAGAAAATCGTTAAGAATGCACAATTAATGAAAAATGTACATGTACACGCAAAAAACTGAGGTGCTAAATGTTGGGTGCTGAGTGAGATTCTGCACTTGAAGTGCCAAAATCAGCACTTGACGGGTTAACTTTAACAAGGAAACCGAAACGTGCTGAATATTTGAGTGCAGAAAACGAGTGCTATAACAATATGCAGCACTTAACATCGAGTGCTGACTGCATAACCTGATCTGATTGGTCGGTTAGTATAATAGCTGTTACCTTGTGAATATTTGTTTTTGAATCAAATTCAGCTAAGAGATTCTTACATTCTTCATTCTCCAGGTCAATACCCAAGGCCTCAAAAGTCTGAATAACTTTGCTCCTTAAACTGTCAACAACATCAGTATTCAAAGCTGTTGCAGCAGATAACACTCTGTTTGTCATAGCATGGGTCATGTTGGTGTTTGATAAAAGAGAACCAATGAAAAATGCAGCTGGTCTCACTATGAACATGTCAGACAATAAAAGCGGACAAAATATACAGTTCCTCAGGTAGACAAAGGAACATCCCTTGACTGCTATTATGTAAAATGTGTAGAACAGGTGAATATGCATGTGACACCTGTTCTACACATTTTTACATAATAGCAGTGAAGGGATGTTCCTTTGTCTACCTAAGGAACTGTATATTTTGTCCGCTTTCATTGTTTGTCATATTCATAGTGTCTTGTACTGTCATTATGCATTGCTCCATCTTGTTCTTGTAGTAGGCCTATCCTATCATCATCATCATCAAATGCATCATCTGCTGCAGGATTATGCACTTCACCAACAGCAACACCCAAATCAGCATCAACTAGACCCTCCATACCCTGTACAATTTCAGGTTCAGGTTCTTCTTGTGGATGTTGGTTTAATAAATGTTTCCTGTAAGAGTTGAAAGTGGTAAATGACGAAGGACATCCACCTTGACCACATACCAAATGTAGATGGGGCATGTCAAACAACGCATGAGTTAGCACTTGCACAAGGGCTATTCTGCTAGCACCCAAAAGAGAGCAAAACTTGGCACTTTAAGTGCACAACAGTCAGCTCCTTTGGGTGCTAGCAAAGTAGCCCGGGTGCAAGTGCTAACTCAGCACTTCGAGTGCAGTCACTATGCGAGCTCCTAAAAAGTGCTAAAATTGAATCTTTAAGTGCTAAATTTAGCACAACAGTCAGCTCCTTTGGGTGCTAGCAAAGTAGCCCGGGTGCAAGTGCTAACTCAGCACTTCGAGTGCAGTCACTATGCGAGCTACTAAAAAGTGCTAAAATTGAACCTTTAAGTGCTAAATTTAGCACTTTTTTTTTTTAGTGTACTTTACCGCATTAAATGCTATTCCACGTTTTTAAAGTTAAGAAAGAACACCTCGTCATGGAAAAAAAAACTCTTGTCATTACTCTGTTGAGTTTTACTTGCATTGATATTGTAAAGCGCTTTGATAGAAATCTCATATGAAAAGCGCTACATAGGTACAAGTTCTATATTATTAAATATTAAACACAATCGTGAACAGTTTTCCAGAAAGTCCCACGTCAGTCGTTGTCATTTTTCTAAGTATGGAAAAATAAATAATTTGGCGCAATTTATATTATAACAAATCATTAACAAATTAAGATTTTGTCAAAAACGTTATGCACATAATCCCCCAACCTATTGAGAGATATATTATCTCGTGGAAAATTCATTGTCTTTCTTTTGACATAACACACATTATAAAATGAGGTTCTTTAAAAGAATAATTCTCAAAGAAATTGGAAGAGTAGTTGTAGATGACCGCCTTTTTTCCCAGTCGCATTTTGTCGAGGTCCTCTCCTTAGAAAGTTTGCATGGAGGTCCCCTGAACACGTTAATGCCCAATTTCCTGTTAATGTAAAACCCTTGGTATAGTCCAGGACAAAAGTGAACATTCGTTTACGTTTGTATACAGAGCAATTTATCAATAGAGATTGATTAGCTTAGTTTAACTTGGTCACATGATGGCATATATATTTTTTTTGTGTTTGCCCAATGAAGGAGTACTCGCCATACATTACCTACAGGAACCGGGTTGACTAAACTCTCCTATTTAATGGCTCTGTTTTTTCAATGCAAATAGCGCCCTCCCTCCGAGTACTTTCCAGTGTTAGTGCATACGTCATGGTACAACTATTGGCTGGAAATGCCCCTCACTTCACGCATGCGTTATTTGTACTTCATCATTGATGATACAAACAAGATGTACATGACATTGTATATGCCTACCCAGAACCTTTGTTGAGTGTATCATCAAGGAGGATATCTCTTTGGTTTCATGCAGAATGGCGACATTGACATCAGAACTTCTCCTGATCGTGTTATTTTACAGTGTAAAAACAGGTATTTTATCTTCATTATTATCTTTCCTTTCTAGAATAGCGGACTAGGAAACATAAGTCAATTTGTCCACATGTACACATGTTGTGTGATTTTGGCTTTTATATCAACGCGGGTCTGTGCGCGTGTGATTCACTACACTATCCATTCGACCGCGATTATGTGTACAGGCAGTGTTCTACTTGATGTTCTTTTTATTGTGATTCCCGAGCACCATTATTCAAATTTTACCGAGAGCTAAAAATAAAAACAAATTAACAATGACATGTAGAGATGCTGATGCTTAGCGAATAAATCTCCGGCCGGACTCTGAACAACAAGGATTCGCCCCCCCCCCCCCAAAAAAAAATAGAACTTGGAGAAGATATTTGATTGGTTGAATAAAAGGGATCGATTACCAAATAAGGCTAGTCTTATGAATTATGCACGATAATACACATGCCACACATACGATAAACACATATGAATAATGATGAGTTCACCACTGATGATAGGTGATTATCCGTCTGCATTACGCGTTAGTATATTTGCCAGAAAGCCCGACGCACATCGGATAGGCTACACTCGACCCATTGCCTAAACAGGTTTTAATTCCTTAAAATGCAAGAGTGCCTGTAATCAGGTGGGCTGCATATAATAAAGACCACCTTAAATTTTTGTTAAAATTACGTTTGTTATTCTTCATTCTTTTTTTTTCTTTTTTTTTTTTCTTATTTCGACCCACTTTTTTGTTAACAAGATTACTTGAAAATGGCACAATCAGATGCCTTGAAATTTGGCACACTTATGTTTAGGCATTTTGACAAAACACGGTAAGGTTTCCAACCTTGACTTTGACTGATGACGTCATCTAGGTGCCATTTTGTGAAATCTTATAAAAATCATCTCATGATCATATCTTCATAACCAAAAGTCATTTCTCATTCATATTTATCATGATCAAGGCGCGCGTCAGTGCGCGCACAAAATTTCAAAATGCTCCTAATCGTCTCAAATTCATTTTGCATACGTTCAAGGCCATTTTAACACAACATAGAATCACCATTTGTTTTTCTTTCATGGTATTTCCCATATTGTTTCCGAACAATATGATACCATGTTTATCTCTTTATGAACGTTTATAATGAGATGAGCGTCCATTTAAGACAAATGTCCGTGCGCGCGAGCTCATGTAATACATAGCATATATGGGCAAAAAATGCCTATACAAAATCCATCATTATAGCTCTTTGAATTGATCGGGGACCCCAAACATGTTTTTTTATATTTGAATAGAGTATGAGGCGGAAATATGATTTCATGTCTCATTTGGTAATTAAAATTATTCTGACGTCATCATATTGGCCTTCCAACTCATAATACGAATTTGCATTTTATGACGTCAGCATATTTATGGAAAATTGATTGTCTATCAGTAAATATTGATCGATTTTCTTTCAAATTTCGATATGTTGTAGCTAAGACAATTCTCTACAAGCTCAAACACCACCATTATTTCCATTTTGATGACGTCATTATAGTGAAAATTTCCATTAAAGGCCACATGTCAGAAATTTCTTAATTTGCATGTTATGCCTAATGAAGACGAATTTTGATCACATCATAAGTCTAGTCTACATGACATTGCTTTTGTAACAGTATCTCGCTTATTTTTGCTCTATTTTGTCTCAAATGT